ACTCCAATCATAATTCCAAAAACAATATTTAAAAATCCTTATTATATTTAAATCGTTTAGTGTATTCACTTACTTATTGTAAAATGTAAATATATTATAACTAATTGATAAATATACATATACAAATGTAAATGTGTGTACAATATTCAAATTTCAATTTATTATTTATTCATTTTTATAGATGTCTATCAAAGTTTACGTTTTATCATAAATATCCTGACACACAAAACAAAATTTAGTATTTAAAAATTTTTACTCATCAATTACACGGATGTTATATTTTTCTATATTTTTCATGTAATAAATCTTATACTTAGTATATGCACATATATAATTTTTACTTTGTACAATTCAAATTTATGTAAAATAAAAGTATAAATAATGCATATTTATTTTAGAACCTTCTCATTCAATAAGCTACCAAGCACTAAGATTAAAATTAAAAGACATATTACCAAAATAAATAATAACTGTTGTACTTAATTACTGCCGCTTTTAAAATTATTTGTTAAGCTTAAATATATACTGCTAGCTCATACTTTTTTTTAATACTACATTTTTCTTTGTAAATATAGAACTGTGTTATTAAATATAACAATTAAATATTTTGTAAAACTAATTATTTCTTGAGAATATGAGTATTTAATTTAAAAGTATAACAAATCTGTAGAAATTAATCTAACAAGTATAACTTAATCGTTAATAGTTTTTTTTTTTTTTTATCGTTAATAGTAGAAATGTGCACAAATATGTTAAATAGATACATGGTAATTAATAGTATTATTATTTTTTATTGAATTTATATTAACAATAACAATAATTGTTGAAATCAGTAAATTTGAGTTGACATTAAAAAGCTTTGCTGTGCAAGTATAGATATCAAATATAACACAATAAGATGTAAATGATAATACATATAAAATATAAATAGCTCAATAAAAATATTATTATTTTATTGTACTATCATTCCTGTTAGGTAAAATCTATCTACATCTAAAAAAAATATGTATGTAAAATTAACTTTCTTTTATTAAATAAATGTATTGAGCATACGAATTGTATATATTAAAGTTCTGCTCTTTATATAATTGTTAATTTTGTTTAAAATATTTACAATTATATTTTTATTTATTTTTTTATTTTACCAATGTAAACTATTGATCAGAGCTCACTAACTCCATATAGCGTCAAAAAAATATTTTTAATTTTCAATCTGATATTATTTTGAATACATTTTTGTACAATGAAATAATTTATGTTTTATTTAATTTTTAAAAACTTGAATAATTTAACTTTGAGATTAATCATACATTGTACTTTTATGACATTAACATTTTAATAAAATTAGCAAAATTCAAAAAGTTTTTTCAGTATTTCATCATTGACTTAAACTTAAAATGAACAACAATAAATTGCATTAACACTGTATATTATTACAATATTATGTACAGATCAGATAAGAAAGCATAAATTTATGACTGTATAATATAAATACAAAAAACATTATTTACAATTCATACCGAGAATAAAGTTAGGTTTAATTTTACCCTGAAGTTTTATATATTAATTTTTATTTTAAATATTTTTACAATTTTTTTTTTTTTTTATCGTAAAAGAAATAATTTTTTGGGAGATATATTTTAGGTTTTGAAACGTTTTACATTTGTTTCTTAAATTTAAATAAAAGTTTCTATTGCCTTTAAACACCATATTATAATTGACTTAATTTGAGTAGTTAGTAAATTTTTGAGAATAATATATTATACGTTTATATTCTATAAGTTTTAAGTTGTTAGTTTATAACAAATGATATACTGAAAAAATGTTTCTGCATCTATCGATTAAAGGTTTGTGTGTTAATAAAAAGCATATATTTACTGATTATACATGTAATGTACTAATGTATATAGTTATCAGAAATACATAGGACAATACGAAAATATTCCATCTCCGAAAACATTTTGAGATTTACATATAAGTCGTAAATTTTCACCACTAGTTATAATAAAAATTTACTTTTAATTATTTACACATTGCTGATTTTTAAATTAAATTTATTTTGAAGTCCTAAGTTAGCTACTAATTGTTTCCTAATTATATTTGGTTTTTCGTATGTATTTTCAATAGTTTCTCTTTTAGAAGAACTTCGAACTTTAGTATATGCAGTATACCTACTGTTAAGGATCTCTTTGAACTCGGGTCATGATTATGTGATTATGTTGTCATCTTTAATATATTTTTTATATTACTGCAAATTAAAACACTTTCATTTTATCTTTTGTTCGTATAACGAAATCGAAATGTTCCATTTTGTAATTCATTTGATTCTGAGTGTTGCTCATTCAAAAGATATACATCTTTTACCCTTTTCGATTGTTAAAGTATGTTTAATATTTAAATTCATATTGAAATAAATGTTTAAAATGTACTGTTTATTAAAGAATTAATTTTTAGATTAGGTTTGTATAATATATGAGCGACGAGTCTGACAATATTATGATGTATGATTTATATTGTATGTCTGTAATATTGTTTTCTTATAATCTTGGTTAATAATGATTAGTAGCAATATCGTCCACGTCAAAGTCCGTTACCAAGTTTATACTTCACACCTCAGTACCTCACGCAGGTAAAAATAATTTTAATCGTCTAAATGAACTTTTTATTTTTTTTTTCAAAATGATTACCTTCGCCCAAACGACCATCGCCCGTTTATATATTAGTGTCTAATGTATAGAAATTAAATACTTTTATATGTACCACCTATAGCTTCTATTGATAATTCATAACAAATTGTGGTTTTTAAACTTTAAATTTACTAATTTAAAAATCAATCAAACAAAGAAACCGTAGAAACCGTAAACTTAAAAGCTTAGATATCCAATACACACGTTTTCTTTATGATTTTAAAAATAAATTTAAAAAAAAACTTGAATTTTACATTGCATCATAGTGAACTTAATCTGTTGATAAACCCTTTATGAGTTACACGAACATAACTGTTTGAATGTATTTTTAAGTAAATTTTACTAAAATACGTTATTTTATATGATAAAAGTAATTAAAGATGTTTGTTTGTCTAGTTATTTTAGTACATGCTTTTCGCACAAGTATGTAACAAATTTTGGTACAACACAAGAATAAAATATGAATATTTACGATTCAGATAATATTATTTTATGTGGTTTTTATTTTAATTTATATAAATTGAAATATAAAAGTATAATTAATATTTTATTTCATAAGAAAAGAAATACTTCAATAAACTTATACATATATAATTTACTATGCATTAATATTAATGTAAAATAAATAAAATTATTTTTTAAAGATATGATATCTAATATAATTTTTTACTGCTATAAAAACTATTGATTGTAATTTTTTCAGCATTAAAACTTTATTCGGAATAATATGTGTATTTAATTTTAGTTAGACATTTTTTATTGTACTAAAATTAAACAATGTATTTTCAAATTTAAAAATTCATATATTTATCTACTATACTATTTATTTAAAAAAAGAATATTTAGTTTTATTGGATCGTAAATAAAACTTTAGAACTTGATTATAAAATATAACTAAGTATTAATAACTTACAGGTATTGTGAATGTTTCCACACAAAAAAAAATAAATATGTTTTACAAGTATTGATAAATTATCTCCTCCAAAATGTATTTAACCATCAAAAATTAAAATACATATACCTAATTCGTATATTATATAGTATAATAATTTAAGTATTAATTTGCTTTTTGCAACAATATTATGAAAGTATAAATTATTTTTTATTGTATTTGTAGCTATAATACTCTCGAAAATATTTAATTTATTTCTACAACCCTTAGATGTTGGGTTAGCTAGTATGCTACGTTAAGTCATTTTTTCACAATTAATATTGATTTTGCAATATTCACTGTAAAAGCATTGGTCAAAATACCGTTGAAATTACGCTCGTATAATATATTTGACGGGAAGCCGTTTCAATGGAAAATAATGATAATAATAAATAGAATTAAATTTTGTACTAGTGACTTTTCGTTTTGTTCGCGAATAACACTCACCTACCCACTTATCTATATCTGCACATACGTCATATAATATAGAATTGCAGTAGTCACGGTTGTGGCGTTTATCCGTAAAATTATAGGAACCCAGTAACCCGAACTAAAACAGACGGCGGTGTGTTACACATCACTTTATTATTACGGTGTTGGTTCTTAGGTACACCTCCATACCATGACCGTGCCATAGGCGGTGGGGTGAAATACGTAAGCCCCTTCGCCGAACATTGGCTTTTTCACTATACCAATACACTGTGTACTGTATACACGTATTATTATACACGTTTCACTTATACACGCGCTTTATCCTTTACGGCTTTATAGCAGAATATAAGTCCGTTTACTGTGCTTGTACATATATAATACATATATATATACATATGCTATGTACCCGACTTTGGGTGGATATCATTTTTCCCTCTCTCGTTCCTGCGGCACAGCTCGCGTGCGCATCTTTCTCGGTCCTACCGCGCTTCCTCCTGTTTTTTTCATTTCCCCCCCCCTTTTTTACACTCCTTAAAATCGCCTTACAAGTCGCAACTCCACGCTACTGAAATGCACTGCAGGTACGTACACCTGCCCTGTCTGCCCCAGCCCTGGCGTTCTATAGACTTTTCACGGATTACCTGTCACTGCGACCAGGCCCGGCGGGAAAACTCGTCACGCCGGGACGGTGGAAACGGAGATGGTGGTTGTGGGTCGTCCGGCTACGGGTAAGTTTGGGGCGGTATCCGTCGCCCGCCGGCGTGTCTCTGGGTGTGGCCGACAGTCGCAAATGGGAGCGCTCGCCGCCTGGCCGGGCTCCGTCGCCGGCGCTTATCGATCCCCCGACCACCGCCGACCGATGTTTTCATACAAAGGCACACACGCGCACCCTCTCTTTTGATCGCCGCCCCCTGACTACCGGGTAGTATTTCTCGTCGGGGCAACGACAGCGCTTCGTCAGTCTTTACGAATCCATTGTACGCTACGTTAGCCGTCGTTGTCGTCGTTATTATTATAACTATTTGTCATTCTGCCGGAACAAAATTCGGTTTTCAACAGTCTTTATTCTCTCTGATTTTGTTCGTCAAAATTATTTCCACTGCCCGCCGCTGTACCTATTATATACCCCGCCTATATTTCTACAGACTTCACGCGATGTTCCGATGACCCGTAGTATGTTCGTCTTAACGGCCGAAAATGTTAGATTCGTCTTTGCACGTGAGCAATGAAGAATCGGACACGGCTGATTGGCTGCCCAACTCGTTTTTAAGATTCTTTCAACAGGATTTGAATAATATACCGGTGAAAATCTTAGGTATGTAATATTCTACCTTGGTAGACATAGTAGATACCTACTAAAGGTACTTATTTTATAAAGTATTATCATGTAACGAGGGTAGGCTAGTTAATGGGAAATATTAACTCGAGTTAGTTCAGTTAAGTCAATGTTGTGCATTTTTTTAAATTTAAATTATGATAATTAATCACTTTTTATGTAAATATTAATCTTACTTGATGCGCACAGTATTTGTTAAGAATTTAAATGTTTGTGCTTACTAAGTATAAAATAGATCAAAAAATATTTATTGGTTTATTTTTATTTAAAACCACTATATATAATAAATATATTTATAATGTATAATTATTACGCCTGACCGTATGGGTAGTATTAAACAGATTCAAAACAAATTTGTGACCGTATTTATAATAATATAGACATATAGTGTATTATTTATTACTAGATAGGTATATTATTTATAGTCGGTACGTATATTATATAATATACATATTATCCATTGAATTTTTATTCAAAATGTAATGTAAATTAATATATTTTTAAGATTTTTAAACTGCTCTAAGTGCAGATTCTAAAGAATCTTTTATTATGTTTGCAAGCATTTTTTTTTCATCGACATTTATTAAAAAAAAAGTAAGACATTATAAATATTTTAAAAACTCCATTATATATGGGAAATTATATTTTGAGTAGTAGTGGTGGTCAGTCGAATCATTCGTGTTTTTTATGATTAATATTTATTGTATCATAACATAATATCAAAAATCGAATGAGAAGAAATCGATCGCTATAATACAATTTAATATATAAGTGTTATCAAACATAGGTACGTCATTGTGCAATAATTATCAAAAATAATATTTATTTAATAATAAATATATAATAGTTTTGAAAAAAACGGTAATTACCTACAACCCTGTTTTTTGGTTATTGATTAGACGAGTTAAATAGTAAAATAATAAAATTTCAAACAAGTGCATGAGAAAATATGTGGTCAAATTTTAGATTTAAAATATTTTTTACTTAATAGTTGATGTAACATTATTAACAACTTGTCCTAATAATGTTATATAGGTATACAATATACTTACAAATTTTGTGGCATGTTTTAGTGTTTTACACATAAAAATTTAATTAAAAGTTATAAAAATACAGAAAAACACAATATCTTGTATAATGTATTCAGAGGGTTATTACTATAACCACAATAATAACGATACTTTTATTTTTCGATGAGAATGACATTTATTTTTATCGATATCGATTTATATGTAGACAGGGATTCTTATTACCCATATAAGCACCAGAGGGCAAAGTTAAATGTCAATAATAAACAATCCTTTTTAAACACGGACGACAGATAGTGTTATAATTTTATATCTCATCCTCATCCTATCACTATCCGTACTCTTTCACTCACATTGTATATATGTCACGGGTAATGTTAACATTCGGATAATGTCGACATTATCCGGCTAATGTCGACATTAGCCATATGTTAACATTACCCGCCATGAATATTATTAAATGCCGGCTAATGTTAACATTAACCGGTTAATATGACATTAGCCAAGGACTTATGGATAATGTCTTAACAACTATAAAATTGCATCATGCATGATAGGAAATCATTTTAAATTATTAGCAATATTAAATATATTTTAGATACAATTAACCATATGCCAAAAAAAAAAGATACAATAATTACTAATTACCATAAAATACATAATACGAGTATAATTTAAATGAGCTTATTTTTCATTTTTAATAACCTAATCTACTAATAATACAATATTAAATTTTATTTTATATTTTAAGATTTTTTTTTAAATAGTATTTAAGAATAGAATGAATGTGTTATTATTTATTATTACATGGCATACTTCCATGACATTTTGAATTACACAAAATATTAGATGATTTACACTTACAACGATTGGTATCACATTTACCTTTGCATGAACACCTTTTGTATCCTTGACCACCACTACCGTCTGATATTAGACCAGCAATTTCCCTCAATGATTTTTCTATAGGTACCACCTCATCAAGCGGTATTAATGATATCGGACAAACACCAAACTGGTTTCTGGTATATAACTGTGGCAAAGTACCATATTTATTACCAAGTTTATAATATTGTTCGTCCTCAATAGCCACAACTGCAAATAAAATATTTCTTGGGTCTGCTCGTCCTCTGTCGACATCGGGTAAAGTGACTCTCACACTATCTCCGACGTTAGCTGGGGGAAACTTATGGATAGACCTAAATTTCATTTTTTTCAGCTTGATTTATCAAACAAATTTCAGAATTTTTTCTATTATTATCGATTGATTATCAGTAAGATAAGCTGGGGTCAGTGGTCACGTTAAATTAATATACCAAGCAGTGATGAAACTTAAATAAATTAAATAGTACATAACTTTTAACATTATCCAAAATTGACTGGCTAAGGTTAACATTATCCGGATAATGTTGATATTTCAAGTTTATAAACGAAAAATTACACATTAGCCAACATGGATGGCTAATGTCGACATTAGCCGGATAATGTCGACATTATCCGAATGTTAACATTACCCGTAACATATATATACATTAGCTTAAACTAATGAAATTATCTTATTTCGGATACTTTATTTTAAAATATTATTGATTAAGATATTTATCTTTTTTTAAATATAATTACTTTTTCTGTTGATTTTGGTGTTTGATTAGTTAATTTCCTAAGTTTTTCGATATATTTTTCGAAAAATATACATACATTTTACAAGAAAAAATAGATAAAAAACCCACTGGAATAATTTATACTTGATACATTAATAATAATTATAATTATTTTATATAATATGAATATTAGAATTACTGTGCAATATACTATGCGATGTTTCTGGAAAAAATTAGGTTATAACGCAACATAAAGAAAATTCTAAAAATTCTTAAATAAAAAAAAAGCGTAAAAATAGTTCTGCTGTATAGTAAATGATCTTTTTATTGTCAATGTAATGAATGTTTCGAATTTGAATTCGACAATAAACTATTGTATGTGAATACGGATTCTGAAGATTTAACACATAGTCTCATTCAAAATCATTATTTAAAGGTACTCGTATAAAGCAGAAGTAGTAGCTAGTGTATTACGTATACAGTACCGATAAATTAAATTTGATAATTAACGTAATAATAATGATTTTTTCATAGATATTTTATCTCCTATGAACAAGCCCATTATTTTATTTTATTATTGGTGATATATATATGATTGGATAAATAATTCATAAGTTTATAACGATATTTATAATATATAACATTATTAATTTTTTTAATCTAATTATTTTACAGCTAGTATACCAAAGTGTGGTGGTTGTCAAGAATTAATACTAGACAGATTTATATTAAAAGTATTGGAACGCACTTGGCACGCTCGCTGTTTAAAGTGTAACGAGTGTGGAGCTACATTAGCCGACAAGTGTTTTGCTAGAAACGGAATGCTGTTTTGTAAAGACGACTTCTTTAAGTGAGTACAGCTTATGTAAGCGACAAAATTAATATAAATAAATAATTAAACTATTTAAAATAAGAGAGATAATACAATAATGAAATGAATAAATATTTAATATTTTTATAATCAAACTTTTTTTATAGTATTACACACATCAATCATCATGAATATTTTTTCATACATACTAAAAGTATAGCGATTATTATTTTTTCTCTTTTAGTTCTTTAAGATTATTTGGCTATTGAATTGAAAAATATAAAATCGTGCATAACATTTTAAAAATAAATGAAAGAAAATTAACTTATTTTAATTAGAAATATCATGTAATTGTGGAATTGCATATGATATTTTGAATCCTATTCATTATATTTATTGGAAAGCTTATAAACTAATATTAAAAATAAACATTTTGAATTTTTAGTATAATGGAAAAAAAGTAAATTCCTTCCTATCTCTGATAATTCGATATTACTACAGATAATTTAAAAATGCACAAGACATGACCATACTCCAGTTATTACCGCCCTAAAATTCATGTTCAAAATTATATGATAAAATCACCTCAGTTTAAGCTTATCACAAGAATCAAAAATATATATCTACACGTAACGGAATACCTCGTTCAAATTAATTATAATTCCAATTGAATCAACAAACTCATAGTTAATATAGGACCAACAGACATCATTGTTAACTTCAAAATTAAAATTTTATTAATTTATTGATTAATAATATTCCATTGTTGATTTACAAAATTGCCAGCTTAATTAAACAAAGTAATTTGTTAATTCTTTAATCATCAGCGTTGTTAACATGTATAAATAATTAAACTTGGTAATATAAACTATTAATTTGTTTTTAATTAGTTTGTTTCTCAATTCATTTAACAAAATCTATATTTTATTTTTTATAAACTAATTTCGTTATACCAACAAAAAGTTTTATCAAGTGTATATAATTCTCATTTAAAAGACCATTAACTAGGTGTTTAAATTATAAAATTCTAAATTTGGTTAATCCACCATTTCAACACATAAATTACTCAATAAGAAGGTACTTATTATAAAAATTGTCCATTTTAATAAGATAAATAGGTGTAAACAAAAAAGTTACGAATAAAATTAACATGACAAATTAATTGTTAATTTAATTAATTATTTTAATCAAAAAAAATATTAAAAATTAATTTTACATGTCATATTATTTTTATTTTTATTCTGAAACAATTTGATAAATTAAAAGGCAATGTTTATCGAATTTTAATGTTATATCATAAAAATATCTTTGAATAAATAGCCAAACGTTTTCTAGTAAATATTCAATATTAGGTACATGATGTTATGCTTTTTATATTTAATTGAATAATTTTGAAACCATTAATAAAAATTATAAAATTATCCAAATTTGATAATTTTGGATTAGAATTAATTTCAAATTCTGTGAATACCAACCAACCAGGATAATCATGCATTTATAAAAATTGTTTTGCGCAAGGCAGTTGATTTATTTTTCTGTTCAGCTGTGAAATAAATGATTAATGTTAACAAAATTAACCTATAATCTATTATAAAATTGTCTCGATTCTTTAGAAAAAAACTAGTTATCAGCAGGGTTTGCAATAAACGCTATAGTAAATTTATACTTGAAAAAACGATTGAAATTTGTAAACATAATTATAACGGAAAATGATTAACATAAATAATTGAATAACACAAAACAAAACATAACGATTATCAAAATATATGATATTTCATAAAACAAAACATAACGCAAAAGTTATATATATAGTATATCATTAAAAGAAATAATTAATTTTCAATATTATTTAATAGTTAAAAGTTTTAATTCTGAATAACGATAAATTCAAAAGTTTAATAACGTATAACAAATTTTTTTCAAATGCAAGTCCTGGTTATCAGTTATCACCTAATATTAATAAAACATTTCATTACCATTTTAATTAATTTTATTAAAGAATTATTTTTAAAAAAAATGGTTAGAGACTAATTTTTGGTGTTTGCCAGAAGGTACGGGACAAAATGTGCCGGTTGCGATTTGGGAATCCCGCCCACACAAATAGTTCGGAGGGCTCAAGATCTTGTCTACCACTTACAATGTTTTGCTTGTGTCATGTGTGGTCGTACATTAAATACTGGTGATGAATTTTATTTAATGGAAGATCGGAAATTAGTGTGCAAACCTGATTACGAAGCCGCAAAAACTAAAGGTAAGTTTCAAACTTCATTATAATTTTAAGCATTTTTTTCCAAAATAGGCGAAAAATTTGTGATTTTTTTACTGCCATTGATGCACATTTAATAGTAAAGATTATTTTTAGAGGGTGGATGTCTGGACGGCGATCAACCAAATAAACGTCCAAGAACGACTATTACGGCCAAACAGTTGGAAACATTAAAAATGGCATACAACAATAGTCCAAAACCAGCTAGACATGTTAGAGAGCAGCTAAGTCAAGACACTGGGTTAGACATGAGGGTAGTCCAAGTTTGGTTTCAAAACAGGTGAGTAATAATGTTAAAATTATATTATTTCAATTTTTTAAAATATAGTCAACGATTCATTTTATTTAGCATGCATTATATTTTTTTTTTTATTTGTCTAATATTTTGTGAACATTTTTTCTTATATATTCCACTTTTATACATTTAAAAAATGTTGTTAGAAAATTATATATTCAACATTATAATATATTTTGATGGTAAAATGAATAAAATAATTTTTATAGAAAAATTTTAAGAATGTTAACTATCATTGCCTAAAAACTAAAAACAAATAACTATTATATATTCATTTAAGAAAAATTATAACTTTTAAATTAGAATAAGTTTAGAATTTTAAGAAGATTATATAAAATTTTAATTTTAATTCTAAATAAATTGAATATTCATTGTTCATAAGAACAACAAAAAGAAAACATTGATTCCTTATTTCTTATTAGGTATAAATTATTTTTACTTAAAAAAATTACTATATATTTATTGTTTATATATATCAGATTGTTTCGTTTAATAATTTAATTTATTTTTATAATTTTATATTTATTTATAAATTGTATACTTACGCCATTTACTCCGAATTTTAGCAGCACCAATACTAGTTTGTTATAATTATTTTATTATCAATTTAATTAACCAAATAATAAAAAATTACAATGATATACTTATTAACTAATTAACAGTTATAAAATTAAGCTATATACAATATAATTTAAGCTTAAATAAACTTCATTAAAAAAAAAAAAAAAAATGAAGTAATACTTTTTAACAATGTAAAATATTTAATATATGCTATAATCCGTAAAACGAACATTTAAAAAAGTACGGATAATGGACATACACTACCTATTGTAAATGTTATATTTATTTAATATTGAAATATAAAGAATAATTTAAATTATTTTTAGAATTTAATATAAATGATACATTTTGCTATATGCTGTGTATTTAAAATAATGAATCATACTATATATATATAAAAAAAAAAAAAACACATATTTAAAACACCAGTATATTGTAGGTTAAATCAAACATTTAATAGATATTATGTTTGTGTATGTATTATTTAACAATTACCTAACAAATATGTGAATTTACCACGTGATCTGCAATCTATACCAAAAAAATTACTTTACAGCTATAATTTGTTTTAAAATAATTTTCTATGAGTTTAAATAATTACCAAATGACCAATGTTTTTTTTATTCTTAGCAATACGTGTAATACCTTAATATTATAATCGTTATAGTTATGAAAACTAAATTAGATAGTGAAAATAATTAATTATTTGTTAGATAAATAAATAAATACTACAACTAAAACTTATAAACTTTTTTTTTTAATTAGTTTATTATATTTTTTTAAATTATATCACTATATTTTAGACGTGCAAAAGAAAAAAGGCTTAAAAAGGACGCTGGTAGATCACGCTGGAGTCAATATTTCAGAACAATGAAAGGTTCGATTTCGCCTCGAAATGACAAAGATGATCTTAAGGTTGATCTTGATTCGAACTTCAGTCATTCTCATGGTAAATTAATAGAATATAAATTATTGCAAGTGATATTTTTCAAGTATTTATTTTATTTTGTTTAGATCTAGAAAGCAATGACAGTTATGGTACAAGCACATTAACTATAGATCAAGAACACAGCTCTCCTTTACCTGGGAGTCATCACCACAAGTTTTTACCTGGCAACTCTTCACCATCGTCACATCAATACATGTCATCCCCCACTCAACACGTTACGACATTTACAGCAGATAATGGTTACATCACAGTAGGCAAGTTAAACGATGAATTTGTTTTCACAGTATTAGTTATTGCAAAAATAAATAAAATTTACCTGCATGCTTATTTATTTTAATAAACATGGTTGAATAGAATAGATGGGTTGTTAATAAAAAATTATATTTAAATGAATAAATTAGAAAACCAAAACAATGTTTTGTGGAAAGTACCATTTTAAGTACCTAGAAAATAGATATCGCGGTTTGTATCTGTAAACAGAAAGAAATTATTAAGACTTAAAAAAGGTAGGTAATTAAAAACGGCAGTTCAATACTTTTTTTAAATTTATTACATATTACAGTAAGTTTAAAGATTTTTATTTATGTGATATTTTTTAATTTTATATGACGTCGAGCATAAAGACTAGAATAAGAAAATTTAAAAACACGAATAGCTCTATTTCTATACTACATAGAGTACATTCTGGTTAAAGTAACAACCGTGGTTATCTAGTAAATAACACTAGATATTCGTAGTCAGATAATAGTATGTGATTTCAGTTTTGTTCGTCTTAGTCCACACATATAATATCATAAATTGATCATTGGTAGACGTAGATCCAGAGACCATAAAGGATAGGTAACCAATTGCTATTTAAATACTAAACAATAATAAAAAAAAAAAATGTATATGAAAATAAAATATAATAGTTCGATTGAGTTGAAACCATCGCGTAAACCTTAGTAAAGAGGAAAACCTTTTTTAAGGACCTTACCTTTCAGAAAACAAACAATTGTATTTTTCTTACTACAGCGCATAATATTTCAATATGTAATTATGCATTTTTATAATATTCATCATGTTAATTTTATTATTACATACAAAATGATTTTAAAAAATAACAGAAAATGCTTTTTTAGTTTCCAAGTATATTACAATTTATAAATGCCAATATATTTTACAAATGGATTTATTTATTTACTTTTTGGGAAAAAAAAATATTGAATATATTTTTGATATTTAAAAAAGAAATCATCAAACTCAATACCTACTATTTTAACTATAACTTAATAAGCATTATCAATGTTGAGTTTTAAAGTAACTAAGGTAAAACTTTACTGTTATAACGTCATATTTTATTTGTTACATACGTCATATAATTTCGTTAAAATTGTTTATAAAATGTAAAGTTAATAGAAATTATTTTTAATAGGCAAACCTTAAAGTATAACGCATTAACATTCATTTAAATATGAAGAACTAAAAAAATTAAAATTAAAATTAATTAGAAAAAAAATAATAATCCTTTTAATATTTATTTCCTACGAATTAACGGTTTATATTTTTAAAATTTTAACTCGTCATAGTTTAATTTTCAATGTCCTTGTACAACATATTCACTCACAATACTTTTTTTAAATTATAGCTGTTCTTGAAAAACATTTACTAGCAACTAAATAATAAATATTGTATCGTTGACATTTTCAATTTAACTCATTTTCATATAAAAGTAACCTCAAGAGATGGGTTTCTGTGATCACCGGAGGTAATGAGTTAACGCTCACACTGAATGCTGCATTGGTTTTTCTTACAATGAATTATGCAATTTATATTTTACGAGTATTAAGTTACCCTCCGGAAATTTTATTAAGTAGTAAAATAATTGATTTGTTATATTATTGAAATTGTACTCATTGTTTTGATACTGATGAAGCCGGAAGGCATGTCAATCACTATTATCAGAATCTTTGTTGGAATTATCAACAAATATAAACCTATTATTGACTGTATACGAATTGAATCTCAATGAAATCTTTTAAAATAAATTGAGTTCTAGGTTATTTTAAAGTACATACTAATTGAGTGAATTTTGTTGCGAAATTTAATATATAAGACTAATTGAGTCTATGTTTAAATACTGAGTCCAGCCGAACTTAAAAAAACATATTCCACCACATTTCTCAGATATTTTTAGGACTGTCCGTAACAAAAAATTCTACGAAAATGATTTAAAATATTAATTTTGAAAAATTTAATTAATTTGCGAACATAATATTATGCAAAATTAATTCAATCGCTTATATTTAAATATAATTTAAAAGTTGTAATAATTGAATAATTTAATTTTTATTTGTTTATTAATAAATAAATGTAAAAAAAGCTTTGAATATAATATCCAAATTATGTTATTTAGTTTGAATACAATACCTGAGTTTGTTCACTGATTTTTTTTTTCTTCATTTTTGATGTCATTTATATTAATAATATAAATACTTCTAATTTCAATAAATATTCATTTAACTAAATAGTTTATAATTTTATATATGTTTTAATGTGCTAATTAAAACATAGCACGCATTTTGAATGGACATTTTCACAATTGTAGTTGGTGCAACGAAGACGTTTCAGGAGAGTAGTATGAACTTTCGGGAATGTAATTTTCTAAAATATCAAGTAATCAGTAAAGCATTTTACTCCGTAATCTGGAGATTTTTTTATTGTTTTCTCAATCAAAATATTCAACTAATTTAATAAAAAAAAAAAAAAACGACTTACAGTTTATTTTACAACAACTTGGTTGTCGGATGGTCGATAATTGTTTATCAAAACAAAACTTGTACCTATTGATAAAAAAAAACACTTTTATTTCTTTCAATTAACATTAATTCATTTATTTAGTAAACTAGAGTATCTTATTTAATATCGGTAACTGTTATTATTGACAGTACAAATAAAATCAAAAATTCTCAGCCTATATTTGTTATTATTATTTTAATCTAGAGAAAGCCGTAAAAATGATATACCTACTCGATAACACGTAGTCAACTCTGTATAATTTTTATTATGTTACGGTTGATTTTATATTTTACTCGAAGAAATCGTAAGACTTAATTATTAGTATATTATTTTTTCTTATCGTACCTGTGAGAAACTCAATCAGTGTGCACTGTTATTATCTTGGGTATAGTGAACTGCAGCATTGGAGGAGTATACTAGATATTTTATAAAAAATATCATAAAACTAAACTTTGTTTTTAAAGGTACTTACTCGTATATATATATATAAAAATATAAAATAAATAATTAGTGAATGATATTTAATAATAACACTATAAATAATTTAATATACTATAATAATATAACACTATAAACTTTGATACTTATAGATACAATGAAAAGTGGTAAAAAATTAGTAAATATTTTACTCGCGCATTTTTTATCAGTATAATAGGTAAAAATAAATGTAATAATTATACATTTACTCGTCATTAACAAATATTAGGGATAAATTAGGGGAAAATAACTCAACGTATGATAAACATTTTCCAAGTAAGAGTTTCTGGACATTTATACCATATTGTTAAAACTTCAAATATGATAGGGCGTAAAATGTATTTTTAGTTTTATAATTATTAACGATAAATGAATCTAAAATTGAATATCATGTTGATTTTATTAGGTCCTACACATTCTGCGCCTTCAGAACTAAGTGACAACAGTAGCACACACGGTTTTGCAGATTTCCCACCAAGTCCAGATTCATGGCTGGGAGAAACACCGCACAGATATTGAAAATATATCATCATTAATTAAAATAATGTATTACGAAGTACAAATCAAAAATGTTCTTTTAACCTACCAAGGGCTATAACAAACATACTGACTAGGTGAGAACATTATAACTTTAATATTTGTTACTAATTATTTGCGATGTTTCTATTCATTTACCTATTACATAATAGTTTCAATTTATTGATGTATTTTAACTTTTATACCTGTATTTTTAATTATTTTGTTTCAGGAGAACCAAGTTTTTAAAATGTTTAATAATTATTTTATTTCTCGTGTTTGTGTGACATGTGTATCATTAGTTCGCGCAACAGTTTTTATGATATTTCATTAGGTTTACGCCAAGAATCGTGTTTAGATGTAGATATTTTTTTCTTTTTGATCTCGAATTTATATTCATTTAAATGTTATCTTTAAATAAATCAAAATAATTGTATACAGGCTATGGAATTTTGTTTTTTCAACTTAAAATACATTTCCATACATAAAATTATTCATGTGTACATATAATAAGGCTACATTGTATCATTGTATATTAAGTATTACCCTTTGGAAGACTAAGTTATGTAATTAATATTATTATATCTTAAAATACTCATTGTGTATGAAATGTAAAATAAGCTTTAATAAATACATCGTTAATAAAGAATTGTTTGAAAATATCTAATATTTATATGCTAATTATAAACTTAAATAAATTTTAATGTACAGTTAGTATTACTTATATATAATTAAAAAAAGCGATTTCCTAATTATAATCAACAATTTTGTATAATGAACTTATTATTTCAAACTTAGGTGTACGTATTACTAAATTCTTAATATTTTATTTCCTTTAATACGTTTAGTTTAAAATTTGAATTGAATTTTTACTTTATATTAAAAAACTTTTCATATTAATCATGACCACAAGTGAAGTATGTAGGTATATTATTAGTTTTTTTAAACATTTACTTCCTAAATATAGGACTTAAACTGTTATTGTTAATTTTGCGGTCATAAAACTAACCGGTTAAGCGATAAAAATGCAGAACACGAACACTGTATGATTAGGTTAAAGGTAAATAATTGTTGAATACTTTCATTTTGCATTCGATAGTGAATGTGATAGCGTGCGTTTTACCTTTTTGGGGAGCTAGGTGAATTGGGTCCGCGATAATTTGGGTTCGTTTTGAAAGCAATAAGTTGAGTCCCGGGTATAAAATAGTAGTATGTAAGTTGGGTCCCGGCTATAAATCATTGGCGCAATTAGGTCTAAAATATTAAAAACTTAAAACTTTAATATTTCATATTTATATAATTTACTTTTGAATAATTGTTACAATAATACGTCATATTGCATACAGTGTGGTACACCGCCTGGACACCAATTAATTATACGCACGATGTTAATGTGTGTATAGACAGGTATTCTTTTCTAGCCACTTTTCTCCAAAAATGAGATAGGTACCGTAATGTCGTAACTTTGATTAAACCTAATTAACATAATATATATATATACGAGTATACGAGCGTACACAAGACGTGTTTGTATTATTCGTCTGTATTTTTTTGTATAAGTTAGTAGTTATCATCGATTTTGATGATGATTACATTGACACGGTACGCAACGGTCGCCGGTACAAAGTACAGGCGCCGCAGCGACCGGTCTACACTATCACCACCACCACGGGTAAAATCACGATATTGTCAACTCTCCCACCAACGCAGTAAAAAGCCTAGGCGAGACGGGAAGATAAGTCGTGCGAGACGAGTACCGGCCTCCGACATTTCATCACTTTAGATTTTGATGACTAACGAGTCAACACGCGACCAAACGTCCGTTTTTTTTTCTTTTCTTTTTGGTATTTCTTTTTTTTTGAATACCCACAATAACCTCGTGTATTGATTTGTTTTGATTGCTTGTTATAATTTTATATACACCAAGTGTAACAATATAATATAACCACTCGTCACAGTTGACATAATAAAACGGTGTTATTTTTTTCTCGTCTCCTCTCGACGTAACACTCCACACCAACAAACATACGACCGCCGCCGAAGCCGCGTCAACATACAGATACACGTACGATATATCTGGGCTATTTCATTAGATTTTTAGTAGCCTGCTGAACATCAACTTGTGACTATATCGTGTCTTACAGCTATACAGTTACACAATTTTGCAGTTATTGTTTTTTTTATAAATTTTGAAAATGGAAATAATGGCTAGCGAAAAAAACAAAACTGTTATTATAAAATATGGTCATAAGTTTAGGTTTCACAAAATGTTATACCATGTATTATTTATTGAGAACATAATATTATAAAAACCGCATACATTTTAATTTATATTTTTTTTCCGGGACTCAACTTACCTACAACCTTTTTTTTTCCGGGACCCAATTTACCAATCCCGCTTTTTGGGTATATAACTGCGTAAAGTGTTTTAATAACAAAAAGTATGATTTTGACTTTTTAAAAGGAGCGTGAGCCAAATTTCTCATCATAAATATTACAAATATATTTTAAACAATAAATGGTAAGTTTTGAAAGTTTTTCATACAATTTTTACATTATTATATCTAATGGTTACAAACATTATATTTATTATATTATGTCACGTTATTATTATTAAATGATATAATAAATAATCCAAAAGTAAAATTAAAATAAATATTGCTTTTATTGTGATTATTAATAATAATGTGGACTATATACTATGAATACCACATGACATACATGATTGATATACACATTACCTAAAAATATAACTAAAATTTATAGGAAATGTAGGTACCCACCTACTAAACAAAATAAAGAAATATTCAATATAAAAAAAAAAACCAAAGAAAAACGCCGTTTGGGGACGTTATTCATATAAGTGAATAATTCAAAATTTACCTAAGTAAAGCATAAATCACTTGAGTGAAAAATTAACCGATCATTTGGGAAAACGCGAGTTGAGTCCACGGTGTTTTTCGATAATACTCGAATTGGGTCCACGGTAATATTTTATTTAAGACAGTTGTCGCTGGATAACATATTGTAACTTCTTCCCCCTCCCTCCATAGAAAAATAATATGTTTTTATAATAAGTATTATTATTATAGATTATTTTCATCTAATATTTGGGCCGAGTTTGCAGCAACCACAAATTGCACCACAAATAGTTGTGAAAGTTATCATGCAAAATTAAATGTTAGTATCAATGCAGTTCACCCTAAAATTTTTGTTTTAATAGACATTTTACTTGGGATTCAGAGTGAAATTTACGTATCATTTCGGAACTCAACCACATAGCCAATCAAAAAAACTGCAGAAAAAGAACATTTTTTAAGAGAAAAGGTGCTTTCTTTTACTAGTAGAGGATTGACCCGCTTAAATTTTACAAAAGAAGTGTCTTAAATGTATTCCCTACCTTATATTTATTACTAAATAATATATAATATTTTTTTATTTTTTAAAATTAATCTAATATATACCTTAACATAACAAAAAACAACATTTTTGGTAAATATTCTTTCCAACCTCCACGTGGTGTCTCCTGGTTAACGTGAATAAGCTAGTCCCAACCATGTACTTCCATAAATATACCGGAACCTGCTGTTTTTGAAATCTGAGACCCAACTCGAGTTTATCCGATCATTCAAGTGATTTATTAATTATTGAATAATGAGTAAGTATCATACATACCTACCTAACCTACCTATACAATAATTTTTATATATTTGCTACGACTGAATAGTGTTATTATATTTATTACATGTTTTCAGCTAATTGTTGATAACACTGATAACTATTTTAATGTGTTAAAACAAATTTACAAATATAGATAGTGATCAATAATTTGTTAGATTGTACAAAGACGAGTATATTACAAGATGAATTTTTATATTCTGTCCATATCTAATGTAATTAGATACTGAATTACAACATTTTGATGATAAACGCTTAACTCACTATGGGTAAAGAGCATAGTAGTATACGAGTACATACAAATACAGAATAGTTATAATATTTACTATTTAGTCTTTATGCCATATTTGTCGGAACGGTATTTATAAAATTGAACGAAAAATTTCTAATGGTTATAAATTTATAATAAAATAAATACGCCAAATTCGATTCTATAAGAAATATTTTGTCAATCAAGTGTACATTTTCAGTTTGTAAATAAAAAATGTGTATCTAGTGTATTAGTGTCACTAAATAATTCTAATATTATTAAATTTAATAATACATCTTACAATCACCCTGTTTGTACTCCGAAGACTTCAGCATCGAATCAAGTAAAAATTGCTGTAGAAATAAAATCAAATATAGATTTAAAGTTTAAACTCAAAACCAGGTAAAATTATACGTTCAACTTTACTTCCGAAACCTAAAAACATAATCATGTATTAGGCAGTGTACGTATCATATCAGAAAACGTAATTTTCCTACCTCATACCATAGAAGAAGCGTATAAACAGCTTTATGAAATCCAAGAAAATATTGCTTCTAATGGTGAACAGTTTTATTTTGTTAATCAAGAAAAATGTATAATAATAATAACATGCTCGACTAATCTTGAGCTGTTATGTAGTTCTGTATATATACAATGATGAGACTTTTTCTTACTCCTCAAAACATTTTGTTCAGTTATATATACTTCACGTGTACAAACTAAAGCTCTATGTACCCGTAGAATTTTGTTTTTTATTATCTAAGACTACTCAACAATACGAATTAGTGTAGTATGAAATTATCTATTTATGTAATACTTTAGTAAATACTAAATTAAATATTACTAAATTTTACTTAGATGTTGAAACTGCCGTTCATAAACCAGTATTTAAATGTTTTCCAATATGCCAAATTATTTGCTGTCTTCCATCTTACACAAAATGTATATAAAAATACTTGAACAATAACTCAGAAATAAATGATTGGGTGAACTGTTTTTTTTGGTTTATCGCTATAACCATAAAATAAAATTCAACATGGATTTACAGAGTTGATGTTTATTTATCCTACCAATATTTCTGATCTTTCAGATTATGTTCTAAACAATTATATTATAGAATATGCCAAATTCCCACCTTCCCTGTGGACAAAAGAACCAATTGACGAACCTCGTACTACTAAGGAGGCTGAATCATTTTACAGTGATTATAACCCACAAATTTATCATCCACATCCTAATATTTATCAAGTAGTTAATATTTTAAAAGAAATTCAAACAGACGCCTTACTAAAAATTAATTCTATCAACAAACAAAAAAATCAATATATTACTTAATAATACTAAAGAAAAACAAGACTATACATTAGAATTGTGGGAAGAATATATAAAAGGAAAACTAAATACTAAATAATTAAATTAATAACTAAAAGATCAACTGGAAAATAATAAAATCCTCAGTGGTGGGTTAGTGTGTAAATATTTTGATTTTATTTCACTTAAATTTATATGACTCGACGCCACTGGATATAAGATACCATATAAACAAATAATTGTTAAATAGCTTGTTAATTTTTTATAAATATAAAATAATGACTAATGTGACTAATGTAAATAAGTTTGAGGCCTTTAGTTGATCAAGATTCCTGGGCTGACAAAAGTGAAAAATCGACTAAAAATAAATACAACACAATTCAGAAGTTATCTACTCATCTGACATTTATTACTTCTGATTAAAATATTAATGAAATTAATTACTTAATATGTAATTATATTAAATTGTTTATTATAACAGTTAAAAAATAGCTAAAAATAAAAATGTCTAATGCAACAAAGTTATTGATCCATAGTTATTATGATGAATATTTCAGCATTGTTAGGTATAAATATATGCACATGACATTATTAAATTCAATATACACTTTACATAAATTAACTACATTCCTACATAATATTATATAATGTGCCGGCAATTGTATATCTCCATCAATGTTACGGTGACCGTAATCGCATTCTGGTGCGACTCCAGTGATGCGGTATATGTATACTGGAAGGAATCTGAAGGATTGATATTTTGCATGGATAGTAGTGATTTAAAATCCTGGTGCATGCGACGATACGGCTTAACGCTGAACATAAAGTATCCGTTGAAAATCTTTTTTAAAATTTGTACCTGTTTCCTACATGCAAACAATTTTAAATAAATGCTTTATTATTACAATTATTAGGTACATAGTATAAACCCTGAGTTAAGAAATCTATAATATTTTTTACACTGTCGAGCTAAAATATGTTTTGCTAAAAACTCACAACCTAAATTATTATAATATTATCATTAACGTAATATATTTAATGACGTAATCATTGCCGAATCCAGTCGTTATAATCTTCTAGTCTACGAGTTTTTCTTTGGGGGTATATAAAAGTTAAAACAATACATTTTTTTAAAGAATTAGAAATAAAATAATAATTTTTGTATTCAGAATTAATCTATTAGGTAATGATCAGCTAAAACAAGTATTACATTATTTCTGAGACTTATAAAATGATTTGGCATATTAGAAAATATCAGATCTAAAAGAAAATCTAAAGTATTGAAAAACGAGTTACATTGACTATACTCATAAAGAGTGTATTAGTCAAAAATTATATCAGCACTTTCAGAATGTTTAACATCAAATAGTAAACTGTGACCATTAGAAAACTATGAACTTCTGAAGGATAAAAGTTACCCATAACTAACATTTCTCCATTATTATTACGAGTATATTAAGAAAACACAATATCAATAGATTTTGGGCGATGTAAGTATATACAGTGGATTCCGCTTAATGTGGGCACGTTGGGACCAGCCCTATTTGCCCACATTAAGCGGTTGCCCATAAAAACCGAAATTAGTAATAAAAAAAAAATTATAATAAAAAAAATATATTTATATCATCATATAATTTAAAACAATTTTAAATAATTACTAGGTAAATAAATAAAACTAAATACATATAATATATTAAATAAAATTAATCTTTGGATGTAGAAGGTATACAAAACGTTGTAATTTTTCGTTGTCTAAGTTGTTTAGTATGGATCTGGTTGACAAAATGGGCACACGCTTCAAGTTTATCAGACGGACTATTTTCGTTTCCCTCTTGCATGAAGAACTTCTACAAGAAATCAATGCACTTTTTCGCCTCTCTTTGACAAAATTTGTTTGTTTGAATGGTAATGATTTTTATTACTTTCGATAAACATAATCTCATAGATACGACGAAACCCGATTAAATTAGTCGTTTTTAAATACTTATGTGCAGGGCTTGAACCGGTATTGAATACCGATTTTGAATACCGGTTAAAACCGTTAAAAATCGATATCAAAAACGAAACTGAAATCGAAATCGTAAAAAACAAATACCGATATCCAAAACCGAAATCGAAATCAGAAAAAATAAATACCGATATCCGAAACCGAAATCAAAATCGGAAAAAATAAATACCAATTTTCAAATCCGGAAACAAAATTGAAAAAAATTAATACCGGTAATCAAAATCGAAATTGAAATCAAAAAAATAAATAACGATATCAAAAACAGAAATTAAAACCTCTACTAGATACTGAAGATGAGTTCGAAGCATTATTTCGAATTTCGACTACTTATCGTTTAATGTAATATTTAATGAGTTAATATTCTCATTATTCACCTATAGTGTTCGAAAATAAATGTGGATATGAAATGAGGTATTACAATTAATTGTCAGATGAGATCATGAGAATGATGAGATGTGTTGTCGGAAAATGTTTGGTTATGCGGGCTAAAAATTAATTAATAAATAATAATAGTATAATACTGCACACGATAAAATATGTCAATAACATGTTTTGACTGAATTTCTTAGAACAAGATTGGTCCGGTCCAATAATATCATTAATCTATATCAGGGATTCCCAACCTTTTTTACCTAACGGCGCACTTGATCATTTTAAAAAAAATCACGGCACACAAATAAATAATTAATAAAAAAATCACAATTGTGTCATTGTTCTTCTAAAAAATGCTTTTTTTTGTATTTTTGACATTATCTAATTATAATATTTACAAGATACTTATATTAAATAGGAGTTGTAGAAATACAAACTACAGTAATATTTTGAAACTCCAATATTTGTATTCATTAATTTTGATAAAAAAAAATAAAAAATAATTTGAAACTTAAATATAATGTAAATTAAAAAAAAAAAAAATTATAATCTGAAATTTAATAAATTATAAATAATAAATTGATTTTGTTTAATATTTGAATGATACAAATTTAATGTGATATTTGAGACTGATATTTTTTACACAATTCCTCTATTCGGGGTGAAACAGTTGAAACAGCAAGACACAAATCAGGTTCAACATTTTTCAAACGATTTTTACTACTTGTTTTTATATTGTTCAGAGCAGAAAATGCCTGTTCACAAAGATATGATGTAGAAAATGGTAATAACAATAGTATCGCTTTCTGAGAAATAGATGGATATTCTGAAGCTAAATTTAACCAGAAGGAATCTATGTTACTTTTCTGACTATTAAATAATATTCGGATAGTAGAACTAGAACACATATCAATGAATTCATTCTTTTCGTCATTAGTAAGATCAAGTTCATTCATATTGTCTGTAAAATCAAATGGCAACACCACCCAATCTGCAGATGTTGTCAATGATGGAAAATAATGTTCAATTTTTTCTTCGAGTAATATAAGATGTTCAATTATAAGTTGTTGTAGTTCTTTAATATTGGATTTAACTATCGTTAATTTTGAAAATGTTGGAAAATTTGAAAAATCCCCTTTAATTATTGAAGATTTCCAAAATACAATTTTGTTTTTGAACCCTCTGATTTTGTTCGTCGAAGAAATTATTGTTTCCTGACGTCCTTGCATTGACGCATTCAGATCATTTAGTTTTTTAAATATATCAGCCAAGTATGCCAAAATATAACACCAGTTTTCATTTCGAAAAAAATTTTTGTATACTGGGAGATTTTCTTTTTCAAAAAATAATTCTAATTCTTCTTTCAATTCAATAACTCGATTAAACACTTGACCTCGTGATAGCCACCTTACTTCTGTGTGTAGCAATAAATGTATATGATCCGAACCCATTTCCTTACAAATAGTTTCAAAAATCCTTGTTTTCAATGGCCGAGATTTTATGTAATTCACAATTTTAATAACATCATTTAAGACTTTTAACATTTGTTCTCCTAATGTTTTTGCAACCAGAGCTTCTCGATGAATAAAACAGTGTGTTATAATCATAGCTGGATTTTTAATTTTAGCGAGAGTAACAAAACCTTTATATTTTCCGGTCATAGACGGAGCTCCATCAGTGCACACACCACAACAATAATTCCATGATAATCCAGATTTTTCAAAAAAATTATTTACTACGTCAAATATGTCCTTCCCTGTTGTTGTTGACTTTAATTCTTTACAAAATAAAAACTGCTCAACAATATTAGAATTATCAACAAATCTGCCAAAACCTAGTAATTGAGCTTTAGAAGTTCTGTCAGTACTCTCGTCTATTTGTAATGAAAATAATTTTTGATTTTTAATTTTTTCTAAAACAATGTCATTAATATCATCAGCCATTTCATTTATTCGGCGACTAATAGTATTGTTGGAAAGTGGCACTTTGGATATAACATCTTTAGAATCTTTACCTAACATTGTTTCAACCATAACTAAACAGGCAGGTCCTATTAATTTTTCGCCAATAACATGAGAGTTCATATTTTTAGCAATCAGTTCTGCGACTTTAAATGATGCTTCAAGAGCTTTATCAGATATAGTCACTTTTTTTATCATACTAGATGCAGCTCTTTTATTTGAATTTAGGAGGCGTTCAAAATATAGTCGTGTTTTTAATGACTCACCCGGATGTTTTGTTGTTAAATGCCTTTTTAATTTACTGGGTACCATTGCTTCATTGCTTAACTTTTCACCACAAACGATACAAACATGTAAAGGACAGTCAGTATTGCCATTCCACGTAAATCCAAAACATAAATAACTATCAGTATATTGTATAAGTAAACTTGTATCACTTACTGAAGTGGATTGTTTAATATTAATTTCTAAATTTAAATTGTTGTCATTTACATTAGCATCAACGTCGTTCGTTAATTTAATTTTTTTTACAAATCTATCCATTTTTTAAATTTAAGTACAATATTTCTTGATCAAAATTAACACGTTACGTAATAACACGCGCACGATTATCACCATACTGAATGACTGAACTGCTAAAGTGCTAAATGACTGCTATAAATACCCGTATCGGTTATTATCTAATATTCTAATGTATAATAATAGCTGTGTCTTTCCATGTGGACATTTTATCAATTTTTATTTTTAGGAGATTTCTATTACACATTTACAATGTAAGACACAAATTACACGGCACACCCAAATAATTTCGCGGTACACTTATGCGCCGCGGCACGGCGGTTGGGAATCCCTGATCTATATAATAGTAACTATAGACTAAAACGTAATCGTCTGGGTATTTATAAATTCTGTCAACTGAAAAATGTGTTCCCTCCGGCCCTCCACCCACCGATCCAAACTGTTAAAAGAAATATTATTAGAATAATATTGTTGTACAAATTTAATTGTTATTGGGATACTATTTATGTACTAATGAAGTAAAGTAATAACATAATATAATTTCTATCATGCTATTATCTAGTTGAAAGTTGCTATCATTTTAGTTATTACTTCGCATGCATTGAAACCTCTGTGGTTATGTTATAGTATCGTCTCTCGTGGTATTTGCTCTTAACATTGTTTAGTTTTTTTTTGTGATTTATTAAAATGGGAAGAAAGTTAACCAATCAAATCAAATCGTAAACAAAAAATACCGATATCCGAAATCAAAATCGAAATCAAAAAAAGTGAATACTGGTATTCGAAACCGAAATTGAAAACGGAAAAAATAAATACCGATATCCGAAACCGAAATCAAAATCGAAAAAAGTAAATATCAATATCAAAAACCGAAATCGAAATCGAAAAAAAAAATTTCGGTTTCAAGCCCTGATTATGTGTATATTCTAACGCTACGATAAAAAAAAATTGCCCACATAAACCAAATCGAGTGTCCATATTACACGGTTTTATTTAACATTGTTAATATACATTTGTATTGGGATCAGACATGTTTTCCCACAATAAGCGGAATCCACTGTATTAGTAGTTACCTACATGACGTTCAAAATTTTTATTTTCAGTAACACGTGACATATCAAATACGATATACGTATGAAGTTATACATTTAATACTACTTTTTCTCAAATAAATTCCTTTTTTTTTTTTTTGGTACTTTTGTACAACTATTAACAAATGGTTAAACAAAAAGTAAATGACTCAAAGTCAAGAAGAAATGGAAACAATATCCGGGTCAATATTTAAAAAGAGAAAATTAAATTACGACAACCCTTCAAAGAGTTCTCCGGAGTCAGAACCAAAAAAAACTTTTAGAAAATATTGTTCTGAATATTTTTAAATTGAATTTTCATGGAACGGAGGAAAAGAACATCCATGACCACAATGTGTTATTTGTAGATGTATACTTGTAAATGAGAGTATGCGACCAACAAATTACATCGACATACCAATACGAACCATACAAAAATGAAAAATAAACCACTCGATTTTTAAGAAAGAAAACTAGATTTGCTAAAAACATCAAAAATAATATTTTTAGTTTTACGCATTATATAAAATAAGTTTACGAATTGTTCAAACTGGTTAATTTTACCTGTAATAAAAGTCGCAATCGGAATCATGTTTGATCAAAAAAGTTTAAAAGAAATTGAAAAGTTATCATTTTCAAATAACACAGTGTCAATCAGTGTTTTTTAAGTATCTTAAAAAAAAAAAAAAACAGTTCATAGCAATGAAATCTACAAATTCAACACATCATTTCTGATGTGATAGTAGAATCTTTGTTCAAATGTTGACTTGAACTCAACTTTTTTTTTTTATTGTAGTATCTTTTTTGGAATTATATCTATGCATAATAAAAATTTCACTGTAAACATTTTTACTCGAATAATATGTTCGGTTTAAAATCTTATTGTTGTACCGTCAAGTCCTAATTACATATCAAAATTTCTAGAAATAAGCGTGTAAAAATTTTGAAATATTCAGGATCGCCTATTTTTTGGTAATTAAAAAACAAACAAAAACTTTTTTTAAAGAAAATGTTGGGATTGAAAAAATTAAGGAGATTAACACTACATCAGGTGCGGTATACAGTATATGAAATTATTTTAACAATAACATATTATAATATAGACAGGACATTAGACTTACTTGGTCGGTAACTTGAACATGACGCAGTTAGACGTTTGGTGGTAATCGCTAGGGCTGAGCAACTCAAATGGGCCATGAATTTTATCGTAGTGGTCGGTTATGGTGTCAACACGGGCCACGTAACCACAGTTCTGCATAGGACATGTGAAAAAATTTCTCATACAGCCTGTTAGGTAATGATTGCTGAGTTCCTGGACGGAAAACCATTTATTCGTGCAGTCAACTTGGCCAGGGATAATTAAGCGTCGACCGCCATACACACAGTTAGACCTATATTTACATTGTAACTTCAAGGCGGATATCAACCAATCAAACGTCATGTTCGATCTCCTGAGGAAACGGCAACCACAAGCACATCTCGATAGGTACTTGATGCATGGAGGGCAGCCTACGTGCGCCTCCGCACACAATCGGTACGGCGGCAATGTCTGTGAGCCACACATGAAGCATGACACCAACTGATTTATTTCTGGACACAAGTGTTCCATTATAGTGATTTACCCAAGTGCACTAACGATCCAATGTGTTTGTCTTTGATGTCTTGATCAATTCAATTGTTAAAAATTTGCTCCACCGTTTAAATCGTCGTTATTCGTTTGTTACAAAGACAATAAAATGTTTATAAAAATACTAAGCATATTCTTTTGTTGCTTTAGTATAACGTAAAACTTGACATTTATTTTTATCAATACTTACTATCTGTATATAGTATGATTGAATAAAACTAAATAAAAGAAACATTCCAGATTTCCAACGTTACGATCACTGTGATTATTGCATAGGTACAGAATTATGTAATTATTAAAAAGTATGGATTAGTTAATGATTTACAATCTGTCGTAGTAATTATTTTATTATTATTCATTTATAAAAAAAAAACCCTAGATGCTACAGTGCAGCTCTGTAATAATGCGTTTTAATTGGCTTATTTGAATTTAAGTTGTTATCACAAAATAGTTGTTATCATGATAATAATCTAATAATAACCCACAGATATACGAGTATGTATAATAAAACTAGATTACTAACTGATGATAAGATTTTAAGTCATCATCCGCCATTTTAATCGAGGCCGATGTAGATTTTTCATTATTAATTTTTATTATTAATCATTATTAGTTGTCAGTTAACACTTGACATTTGTCGAATTGTGTACCTACTGTAATGTGAGTGGTTGTGTCTGCCTTTACTTTTTTATTTAATATAACATTTTGAGACTGTTCGTTGCATTTTGCTTAGACATTTTTGCATACTCAACACAAAAATCATCAAAAATAATTAGTTCTACTAAAATTTATCGTATAATAAATAATGTGCTTGATATTTTGTTTTGAATTATAGATTCCCAATCGATGAGGTAAGGAGACAAAAATGGGTGGACTCTATCCAAAGATAGCTTTATTCCTACAAAATATTCACGCATATGTAGTCTTCATTTTAATAACAGTGACTTTGTAGAAGCTCCAGATAAACTTAGATTAAAAATACAGCTATTCCATCCATTTCCAATTATCCCAAAAGAACAATAAAACATTTAATCAACAAGTTTGATCACAATTATAGTTCTTCAGGTAGGTAAATACCAAATTCAATGTTGTATTTGTACTACTTACCTATTTATTTAACAATTATTAAGTAAATTACATTTCCATCTACAGTTTTTTCTTCATCAAATATAATTAATATATTAACACATGCGAATATACTTTCTACTTGTCCTAATGTACCGATTAATTCTGATGTTGAAAATGCTGTGGGTAATCATGAAGCTGTTGATCTGACTTTTATTGGACTTAGTAAGTTAAATATATTAACAATTTTAATTTATATACAATAATGCTATATTTGTTGTAATTCTAGCCAGTCACTTCATACCCCTACGAATACATCAACACAGAATAAATTATTTGATACACCAAAAATAACCAACCTTAAAAAACGAATTAAACTTTTACAAAAGTTAGAAGGCAGAATATAAAAATTAATACACTGAGGTTTTTATAAAGAAACTAGAAAATAAAATAAATGTTACAGTAGAGTGTCTCACTTATACCAGAACCGTCAGTCGGTATGCGAGAAAAATTATTAATCTCTTTTGAAATAGAGTTTAAGAATATATGTATTAATTATGTCCAGATTAGTGAAACTTTATTGTATATTGCAATTAAAATGATGAAGTGTTTTTTTTTAATTTTTAACAATTTTTTCCTATCAGAAATTGATGTCTACTATTGGATCCTGTACCGATAGAGGAACTACTAATTTAATTGAAAAAAATTTCACAATGGTTTTTTTAAAAGATATTATTAATAATGTAAATGTGACGTCTACTGCAAGACGATACAATGAAGAAGTTAAAAAATTCGCAACTACGCTTTACTTTTATTCCCCAAAAGCGTATACCTATATTAGGTATATATCTCCTATATCCCCAATAACTGAAATAATTATATACTAGAGTTACAGAAAAACTAATATTTATTTTAATTTAAAGAACTTCAATTGCTTTGCCTAACCCAAGTGCTATAAGGAATTGGGTATCAAATATAAATGCAGAAACTGGTTTTTACAAGATGTCTTAATAGAAACAGGTAAATTTCTAAAAGAAGACAAAATTTGTTGTCTGATATTAGATTCTATGAGTATTAAAAAATCAATTCAATGGGATAAAGTTAGTCATAGGTAATATATCACTAGAAAACATTCATAGTTGAATATATCATACTTAAATATAAATTTATAAATTCAAATTAATTTAGGTTTATTGGTTATTGTGACTATAGCAATAGTTTGACAGTTGAAGACTATAAAAAAGAGTCAACAGAGGTTTTAGTTTTTATGTTATCTAACTTAAAACAAAATTGAAAATGGCTAATAGAGTATTGGTTTATAGATAAAATTAAATAAAATGTACAAGCTCAGGATTGTTATTGCGCAATGTAATAAATTTGAAATTAATGTGGGGACAGTTACCTGTAATGAAGCTTATGTTAATTTCACAACTTTTAAAACTCTAAGATGTGATCTAGATCAACCTTTTGATTTTATTAAGTCCGAATTTTTCAATATCTAAAGCTTATATTTATTTCACACCTGATGCATGCCATAATGCGAAATTAGCTAGGAATGCTTTGGGAACACTTGGAGTGTTTAAAGACTCAAACAACAATCTTATTGAATAGAGATATATTCAAAAATTATTTGAACTGCAAAACAACATTGGCTTTAAATTAGTTAACAAGATAAACTCTTCACATATAAATTGGAAAATCAATAGTACAGAGGTTCCCAACCCGTGGTACGCGTACCACTAGTGGTACGCGGAAGGCTCGTAGGTGGTACGCGAAGAAATTTTTTTATTACTATTTGCATTCAATATTATTTAGTTTAGTTTATTTGATATTAGCTAATTTTATAAAATTATTATTTTATCAAAATAAATTTAATGTCGATAACATGGGGTTTGTAATCGTAGCAATTTAGAATTTTAGATAATCTATTCTTATCGATAAAGCGCATTCTTATAGTTTTAAGTGTTTTAACGTTTGTGTTATTTATATTATATTTTATATAATATGGTATATTGATGACCTTGTAAAAAATAAACAACAACAAATATCACATTAATTTTATTTATTTAATTTTATTATTATTATTTATATTTATTATTTTTTTTTATTAATTTGAAAATTGTAATTTAAAATTTAAATATTTAGATTTAACTAAAAATTATGATTTTTTTACTTTCATAAATATCAAATAATAAAAATGTAAAGAATTGAATAATAAAAATATACGCTAAAAAAATTTGACTCCTAATTTAGTTTTAAAATTGAGGTGGTACGCGTATTGATTATAAAAGTGTCTGGTGGTACTCGATGATAAAAAGGTTGGGAACCCCTGCAATAGTATGAAGGTAAAATCAGCAGTTCCGTCACAGACTTTCTACAGTTTCTATCCAAGACTTCAATTAATTTTGAAAAATGTGATGCAACAATAACATTCATCAGGATTGTAGATGAGATTTTTGATTTCTTGAACTCTAGAAACCCAGATGCAAAAGGCTTTAAGCAACCAATTAATAGTCATAATATTCAATACCTAGAAACAAAAATGAAAAAAAATATTGAATATTTGTATTTATGAAAAACAGCTACCAGGCTAGATCTATGGAAAAGCAAAAGAAAAACATTTATATTAGGTTTTGCTGCATTCATTAAATCTACTATAGCTATAACAAAAGATTTGTTGATAAATCAAAATTTATAATATGTTGACTATAATATAGAAATATTGTATTGATTACTTATATCAACATAATAATATGTGACGTTTTAGCATAGTTTATTATTATTAGTATATAATTATTCATGAAATAATAAAGAACACTCTATGCAATCCAACTGTATCTTTTTTTAAAGAAAAATACCATGTAAATAATTTGGAAGTTCATGGCCTATGGTTCGGATCACGTATCATCTCGGCTTAAAAACTTCTTCAAAAAAAATTCATTAAAGTTAAGACAACTGAAAGAAAAGTGTTTAGTTATCATTCGAGACACACTTAACATTATTCATAAACATTTATATTCTTAAAACAAAAAGACATAGATTTGGTATAAAAATATTTGTTATATGTGATTGTGAAACAGATTTTATACTCGATATACTAATTTATACTGGTAGTACAACAAACTATAAGAAAACTAACCCAAACCTAGGTATTTCTGGTGCTGTAGTCAATATACTAATCAAGCCATACTTGAATAGAGGCCATAAGTTATTTATTGATAACTGGTATTCTTCTCCATCACTGGCAAAGTATTTACATAAAGAAAAAAACTAATGTTACGGGTACAGTTCGTAAAAACCGTAAAGGAATACCATCCATGACTACAAAACTGAAAACAGGACAAACATCATACCAACAGCATGTTAACTATAAAATGGAAAGACCGTCGAGATGAAATGATGCTTACTACACAATATGAGGATAAAATGATCTCTTCTGGAAAACAAGATCACCAAGGTAACTCAATAATTAAACCCCTTAGTGTATTGAAGTACAATGAAAATATGGGTGCGATTGATAAGACAGATATATTGTTGTCTTCTGTAGAATGTGTTAAAAGAACTGTAAAATGGTATAAAAAGTTATTTTTTCATTTAATTGACTTATCCCTTCTAAATGCCTATTCAGCCTATAAAACATGTACAGGAAATAAGATAAGTCTAGCAGATTTTCAATACCAATTAATTAGAGAAATTTTTACAAAATATGGCACACCAAAATTGGACATTTAAAAGAAAGGCCGTCGATCCAACACTGTAGAACTACCACATCGATTGCTAGGTAATCATTATCCATCAATAGTACCACCTACTCCATCAAGAGCAAAACCTCAAAGAAAATGTATTGTTTGTCAAAATAAAAATAACAAGAGGAAAGATACTACATATATGTGTGTGAAATGTAATTTTGGATTGTGTCCAGCACCATGTTTTGAGATATACCACACACAAAATAAATATTTTTGATTATACATTTATTATACTTCCATTAAATGTATTGCATTGTATTATTTTTTTCTATTATGTATTGTGTTATATTTATAATATGTGTACAACTTATTTGTTTTTATTATATTTTACTTATATTGTAAACTGTATTGTATGACCATAAAGTTTAATTTTTTGCAATAATATACAG